GGCCCGAGTGCAGTGGCGGCGGTTCGGGGCGGCCTCTGCGGCGCCTTCAGACCCGCGTGCACACTGCCTTAGGCCGCTCCCTGCCCGGCGCCTTTGTTACCAGCCTGTGACTAGCCTTGCTTTGTGATTATTTGTCCCAGGTGATCAGTTGTCACCTTTCCTGTAGCTTCCAGCCTCGGAGGGCCAAGAAGTCACTCCGTCGCTTGAGCCCATGCCCCTTAGGGTAGCACATAGGTCTGTGCGGCTGCCTCACCTTTGCTCACTAATAGCCATGTGAGCTCTTTGGGAAGAGCCTCTTGTTGTGGCTGGGGACAGGGAGCTGGGTTAGAGTATGGGGTGCTCTACAAGCTCCAACAGTAACAGGCAGAGGGAGTGAGGCTGAGGGGAAAATGGGAACCAGGCGTCAGCAGCAGTGCTTAAATACTAGGGGTAGCAGGTTTCAGGGGTGGTGCTTGTTGCAGCCAGGTTTCATGTTGTCCCATATAGTCACCTTAAGTGTAAGGACATAGGCAGACAAGGTTCTTTGGGTAAATGTGATATTTTTCTATTAGACCAACTAAATAGTTGAAAAAAATGTTATTTGCAAGCTTTCAGGCACAAACACTTTTGCAGGCATAGGGAGAGTGCTGGTGTTTTGTGTTCTCCTGGGTGGACTAGAGGCCAATATGCAAAATACAGGGCTGTGAAAATGCAAATGTATGGCAGTGAGGTTCAGGAGCTGTGAGTTAGTCCATGCTTTTTGTATCCAGTAGATTTATGAAGTGAAGTTTGGAGGCTTGTCTACGAAAGGTTTTTTTTTTTTGTAAATTCCCTTTGAGGATTAGACCTGAGAGACTGGAGACAAAAAATCTTGGACTAAATATAGACATAGGTTATACTGCGCCATTAATCCAACCTGACATCTGATAACCCCAAGTATAACCTCTCTACATTTTACTAGCTACATCCTATCACCAGGTCAGCATTCCCCCCTTCCCCTTCCGCCTGCCTGCTTCACACCTATTATCTCCCATGGCCTCTGGTCCTCACTGCCAGGCATGTGTGTTTTCACAGACCTGCATTTTGTTGATTGCATCTATTCCACCCAGGAGAACACAAAACAACAACAGACTCCATATGCCTGAAGAAGGGTGTTTGTCCCTGAAAGCTTGCAAAGAACCATTTTTTCCAGCTATTTAGTCGGTCCACTAAAAGATATCACATTTACCCAAAGAATCTTATCTACTTAGGGGCAGCAGGTATGAGACATACGTTTGTATGCTAAGTACTTTATGCTTTTAATAGAGAATATTCTTTAACTGTTGTTTGCTGTAGAAATGGACTAAACAAGAAAAGCAGTCCCCCAGAAACAAGTGCTCAAGAAGTCAGTGGTCCTGCAGGCTGGGTTGTGAACCCTTTGGGAAAGTGGAAGGCTTAGAGTCCTCATGGAGGCAGCTGTGTCCAGACATACGTTATTGTGAGGTGCATTTGGACAAAACTGGTGAGTTCCTGAGAAACCACCTGGAACATTGGTAGGAAGCAACATTTCTTAAGTGGAATGTGAATGAATGTAGTCACATGGTGTTGCAGTAGGAGCCCTCTCCTAGCTGTTTGAGGGGGAAAAACAGTATTATTTTTATAATGTAATGCAGTTACAAATGTTTACAGATAATTTGCAAACCAGGAAAGCTTCAGTCATCCAAACATGTGATAGACTTATCAGGAGGCACTACTTCACAGTCAGGACGGCCAGGATCTGGAACCAACTTGCAAGGGAAGTGGTGCTTGCACCTTCAGAAGGGGAGTCTTCAAAAGGAGGCTAGATAGACACCTTGCCAGGGTCGTTTGACCCCAGCATTCTTTCCTGCCCATGGCAGGGGGTCAGACTTGATGATCTGCTCAGGTCCCTTCTGACTCTACCAACTATGAAACTGGGCTAAATATGGCCAGTGATGCTATGTTGTCGGGCCTACAGGTAGGGAAATTTGGCAGTGGTAGAGTGGTGGCAATTAACACTGCTCCCCAGCTGCCAAGTCTTCGAGCTTCATGTGGCTGGATTGAACCTGGGCCATTGCTGCAAGGCTGGATCTGGTCCCCACTGTGCTTTCCCCATGCACCGGCAGATTTTGTGTACCATGAGGTCATGGGCTTAGGCCCGTCATGAAAAATTATATGCATTAATAAGGGAAGGTGCTGGAAACACATCAACTGATTTCTTGGGACAATTGAAAAGAAAATAGCAAAGGGAGTGAGGTTGTGAGTTAACGACAAGGGATCCAGAATGGGACACTAAGCAGAGCACGCTGGCCAGCACCCACTGCCCTGTGAATGAGTTGAGGTGACCTGTGGACGCTGATCAGTGAAACTTTGCACAGAGATGAGGGTGGAGGAGCGACAGGAAAACAGCTCCATACTTGCCTGGGTTCCCTCGCCAGAGTTTTTCCGTTCACCGGATCTGGCCTATGGACAGACCTGGCACTGCCTATCCAGCCCACGGAGCAAAGATTGGGCAGCAGTAGACTAGGTTACATGGTATGAGGAGCAAAAGTTCGCTGCAGCCAATTTACAGTCTTCATGCATAAACTATTCACTTGTTCCCCTGAGGGGTCAGGCCAATGCTCAGGATCTCAATATTGTGCTGTTAGACAGGAGTGCGTGGTGTACAATTGCACATACACACAAAAATCAATTAAGCACACATACACTCACTAGGTGCATGCACCCATACTAGGCATACACACTCACACTAGCAATTCAGGTGCACACACATTCTAAATAACCAATCTAGGTTATCACCAGTTTAAACCCATACATGCTACACACGCCAAATTTAGACAGAATCAGTTACCAACACCTGCACATCCCATACACATACATGGAT